ACCACTTAAATTTTATCTATCTATTATCTATCTATCTATCTATCTATCACCTATCTATCTATCTATCTATCTATCTATCTATCTATCTATCATCTATCTATCTATCTATCTATCTATCTATCTATCTATCTATCATCTTCCATCTACCCTATTTGTTTTCTCTGGAGAACTCTGACTTCCTAATACATCCTCTTTTTTTGCTTGTTGTTACTTTTATTGAATACTCCGACTTGAGTATTCCAGATAGAGCTGAACATAACTTATACTCCACATCATCTATACTTTTTCTCACTGGTATTAGTTTCCTCTTCAGGTCAAGAGATAGACTAACAAAAGTAAAGGGTAATGAAGATAGCTTTGGAATGAAGCATGAAGAGCATGGGGGTCTGTTCTGTTTAGATTCAGCTATTCAGTGTTACCCATCATTCCCTCTTAGCCCATTAATGTCACGTTCCATTCGAGGCTGGGCTGTACTGCACTTTGCTGAGAAGAAGGAATGCAAGCTTCTTTACTAATGGGTATCATGTCATCTTGACCTATCTTTGTTTTTTTTCTGAGCAAAGATGACTGGAATTTTATAGATGACAGTTCAAGATTTTACTTTTTGATTTGTTTTAAAGTAGAGTAAAACTTATATTCTTTTAATTTTTGTTTGGTAACTGAACCATCTTCAGTTCAGCATTGTTCAATAGAACTTTCTATGATAATGGAAATGTACTTCCACATGTGGCTATTGAATGCTCAAAGTGTGGCTAATGTGGCTGAAGAATTGAAATGAAATTTGTATTTAATTTGAAGTCATTTAAATCTAAATAGCCACGTGATGCTATAAGTTACTGTATTGCACAGCACAAATGCAAGTGAGTCTCCAAATATCAATTTTCAGTTTGTTTTCTCTCAAGTATATGAATTAAGGTTCTCCAGAGAAACAGACCCAATAGTATATATGTAGATATATATAAAAGGGAGTTATTGTAGCAATTGGCTCATGTGGTTATGGAGGCTGAGAAGTCTCTTGAGCTGGTGTCTGCAAGCTGGAGAACCAGGAAAGCTGGTGGTGTAATTCATTC